CAAACCACCAGCTTTCACCCCAAATGTGAAGCTGTACATGCCTCTGTTTTGACTGAAATCCAAGACACAGGCTTTCCATAAGTGAATATCCTTCAAAGTAACGTCTCTTCTATGGTAAGCCCTAAAGAATGTGAAATGCTTAGATATAATCAAAGAACGGGCAAACTATGTCTAGAGAATTTAGAGGAACTAGAAGGATTTTTGTTTGTAGAACTGGAGAAGCAATATGAATGGTCTGGCACAAGAAGGAAACACAACACCGAAGAAATACTCAGTGGTACCAGATGACAGAACAAGGAGTAATGGTCTCAAGTTGCAGTGGGGGAGGTTTAGGTTGGATATTAGGAAAAACTTTTTCACTAGGAGGGTGGTGAAGCACTGGAATGGGTTACCTAGGGAGGTGGTGGAATCTCCTTCCTTAGAGGTTTTTAAGGCCCGGCTTGACAAAGCCCTGGCTGGGATGATTTAGTTGGGGATTGGTCCTGCTTTGAGCAGGGGGTTGGACTAGATACCTCCTGAGGTCCCTTCCAACCCTGAGATTCTATGATTCTATGACACAAGCACCTAACCAGGGTGTATCTTTGAAATATTAAAAGAATTTGCTTAAAGAGAGGGGAAATTCCAGTTCATAGTGGGGCTAAAAGAGAAACAAACGGATAGAACATATGACTCCTCTAAGGAAAAGGATCAAAGTCATGTGTTATACAACAACGCCGTCTATTGGCTAGGGACGGAAGCAGCAGAGAAGCTAAGAGCCATTAGTTCTGAAACCAGCATATAAACCAAGAGGACACCGTATGAGACCCCTGAATCCAGAAGTGCTATCAGACGCGTGGGCCAGCCTCCTAGCCAGCTCTCCCCTACCTGGGTTACCAGGACAGAAGCAGTGTGATTTCATTTCAGAGATTGTATTTCTCTGGGTGTTCTTTCAAATCGGTCCCTGCCGGTTCCCTCTTTGAGTCTGCACTCTCCCCATGGACATACCCAGTAACCATAGTTTGGGTTTTAATTTTGAACTAAGCCAGTGGTTCTCAAACTTTAGCAACCCAAAGACCCCCGTTTTGATTTATAATTTTTTCAGGGACCCCCAAGTCCCCCTGCTCAGCCCTTGCCCTGCCCCCTTCCCCGAGGCCATGCCCCTACCCCGAGTCCCCGCCCTGCTCACTCCACCCCCCTCCCTCCGTCGCTTGCTCTCCCCCACCCTCACTCGTTTTCCCCAGGCTGGGGCAGGGGGCTGGGGTGAAGGAGGGGGTGCAGGTTCTGGGAGGGAGTATGGGTACGGGAGGGGGTGCAGGCTCCAGCCAGGCAGCGCTTACCTCAGGCGGCTCCCGAAAATGACCGATATCCCTCTGGCCGTGGCTCCTAGGTGAGGGGGAGTTCCCGGCCAATGGGAGCTGTGGAGTTGGCACTCGGGGCAGCACGCGGAGACACCACCACCACCCCGGTGCCGCAGGGATGTGCCGGCCGCTTCCAGGAGCGGCGCAGAGATAGGGCAGGTAGGAAGCCTGACTTAGCCCCACTGCGTCACCGGACTTTTAGCATGCAGGAGGCGCTGGGAAGGAGAGGGAGGAGTTGATCAGCGGGGCCTGCAGACCCCCAGGGGTACCCTCAGGGACCCCCAGGGGTCCACGGACCCCACTTAGAGAAAAGCTGAACCAAGCCATGCTATATATTTATGATTATTTGAATGTTTCTCCTTTGTCAGTTCAAGTACATTGGCCTAAGAGCACTTTGAACTTTAAGCAATTGCCTTTGATATTTCAGACTAGTCCCTTTCACACCAAACTCTACAAACAACACGCACATAAGAGCGATTGAAAGGCAAAGTGCAACCTTACTCCTCGGAGAATTACTGGAAGTGTCATCAATGCGCTAGAGATACTAAAGAATTGGTAACTGGTGATGAGTAACTGCAGTATGAAGTCCTGGTGTTTGCATTGTTCCTTGATATCACTGCACAGCCCCCACACTGGTCTACAGTAACTGCTTACAGACTTCATGTGTAGTTTATGCTTAGTACATGCCTAGAACATTTGTTGTACCTGCACTTGATCAGTGAACCATGGGTTATACACTGATGTGGTTCTGGGTGAATTAATACACTCTTGATTGGTTAAGAAAAACTAACTGTCCTGATCAGAGAAATACGGTCCCCAAGGTAAGATCTGAAAAGAACCTAGCCTTAAAATCAGTAGGCTAGCAAGCCCTGGACTCAATAAAAGGGATTATTCGACTTAAATTCCATCCCGATATTGGTTATAGCACTTATCATAGAATCATAGAAGATTAGGGTTGGAAGAGACCTCAGGAGGTCATCTAGTCCAATCCCTTGCTCAAAGCAGGACCAACACCAGCTAAATCCTCCCAGCCAGGGCTTTATCAAGCCGGGCCTTAAAAACCTCTAAGGAAGGAGATTCCACCACCTCCCTAGGGAACCCATTCCAGTGCTTCACCACCCTCCTAGTGAAATAGTGTTTCCTAATATCCAACATAGACCTCCCCCACTGCAACTTGAGACCATTGCTCCTTGTTCTGTCATCTGCTACCACTGAGAACAGCCGAGCTCCATCCTCTTTGGAACCCCCCCTTCAGGTAGTTGAAAGCAGCTATCAAATCCCCCCGCACTCTTCTCTTCTGCAGACTAAACAATCCCAGTTCCCTCAACCTCTCCTCCTAAGTCACTTATCAAATTGGCAAATCTAGTTTGTTAGATTCCAGCTTTAAAATCTAACTGGCACTTCATCAAATTCATAAAATCTCTCTCTCTCTTACACACACACACACACACACACATTGATGAAACAGGAAGTCCTCACTTTCCTGTAGTCACTTAGGTTCACATGACTGGCTGGAGGGTCATGCATGTGCTACGTGCCTTCACCACAGTTCCTCTGATGTGTCACCAACAAACCCCTCCCCCCCCACACCCTGCTGATCCCATCAATATACTTCCATACAGGAGATGGGCCCAAAGCAAAGCACTGAACCCAAACCATCCCACCCATATGGGGGAGCTCAGATCTGAACTCCATGGCTTGGGTTTATTTGTACACGATGAGGCCCCCTGAATCTGACCCCTTCCAAACTTTAGGGAAGTTCACTCACTTTGTTATACTCCAGTTTGGGGGCGGGGAGGGTTGTAAAATTACTCAACTTTGCCCATTCAGCCTGGTATAAGCAGAAACAACACCCTGCAGTCAATGGATTGGGCCCACTTTATACCAGGGCTGTATTTGGCGCAACAAGTCAGTTACCACAGCAGTTCCATTCTCCGCAGACAGGACGGCAGACGCTGACCCAATCCTGCCAGGTGCTGAGAGCCCTCAATCCCCTTTGAAGTCAGTGAGTGTTGAGGGGGCTCAGCCCGTGGATCGGAACCCCTTGGTCTCTTTCCAGAAGACATTGTGTGTGGATTCAAGTGGCTGAGATGCAACATGCTCTCTGAGTTGCCATGGCAACTTAGCCCTGAATAAGAGGAAACAGCGGGTACAAAACCCTCCTGTATTTGCCATGTCCATTACATCACCCTCCTCTTGGGCTCGGAGAAGATGTTCCCAGCACAGCCAGATTTTCAGTGCTCACACTGTGCCAGGCTGGGCTCACCCCCTACAGCACCTGGCGTGGTGACTGTGTCTCCCCCCGTCCCATCCTCACCCCGAGGGCTGGCTGTGGGGGAATCACAAGAGATCTGCTGCAGTGAAATAGCTCAGGTTCTTGTGGATCAGTCAGGCTGTTGGGCTGGGCTGAGCAGTTCTGAATGCAAGGTGGGGTTTCGGCTCTTTAATCTCATCCCCGTTATTCCATTAGCCCCCCCTGTTCTGAGCTTCCCTTCTTTTCAGAGGCTCATGCTGATTTCTAGGGGTCTGATTTTCAAAGGCGCTGAGACCTCCCATCTGCAGCCGAAGTCAATGAGAGCTACTTCTGCAGAGCAGGCCCCTCGAGTCATGTGGCTTTGTGGGACTGACCAGCTGAAGCAGGGTGGCTAGATGCTCTCTCCTTGTCCCACGCATCCCATCATCTCAGGGTGGCTTGGGCAGAAAGGCAGCCCTGTCTCAGGGAAGGATTGGCAATGGTCATTCATCATTGGTCTCCCTGATATGATTTCCTGGGAGCTTGGAGGAGTCAGGCAAATCCCTTGTAAATGGCAATTCTGATCATTTTTACACAGCCAGTGCATTAGTTTTACTGGGCCACGAATGTAGGTAGAGCTGCCTAAAGGCCCCCTATAGCACCAGTTCCCAACCATGGCCGTGCTCGGCTGTCCTGGTATGTGACCGACACTCTGCCCCTGTACCGCCTTTGTACCAGCCCCCACTGCTGCCCACCTCCCATTCGACCAGGTAGGCCAGAGTCAGCAACGGTCATGGGTCCCGCATGCCATGCCCAGAGCGAGCATTGATCGGAGTGCAGGCAACTGAACTGGAGCGTGGGGAGGTCTCGGGGCCAAACGCCGCTCCCTGTTACAGCAGGGTGACCCCAGTGGGGTTACCTCTGATTTGCACTGGTATGAGCTGCATGATCCCAGCCTCCAGCTAGGAAAGCTGCATCAGAAAAACAAGGGAACCTGTCACTCCATGGTTCACTCACTCGGCCCCCCACCCCATTATGTAGAGTCCCTCCTTCCTGCCCCCCCCCATGCTGCCTTTTCTTCCGGTGCTGCCCCCCCCCCACACACTTTTCTCCTCCAACACCCCCTCAACGTCCCTGGTGCGCTGCTCCCCGCACCCCGAGCCCGTCCAACAGCGAAACCCCCGTGCGCCAGGCAGCCCAGGGAGTGTGAGTCACATACCGCCCCCCCCCAGCCCCAGCCTGCAAGCGCCCCGCAATCGCAACGCACGTGTGCGACTCCACGCCCGCTACGAGCCCGCAACATTCCATTCCTCTGCGTTCCACCCTTCCTGATTGGTCGGGGCGGAGACCTCCCCTTCGCTGATTGGCTCCCGCTCCCTGCCATGTAGCCACCAAGTCCGCCCCCCCCTTTTTATATCAGCTGAGACCTCAGGCCAGGGGGACGCGCAGGGACGGGACTGGAGCAGAGGTGGAGTCTTGGCGGACCCCCGCGTGAGTGGGGCTCCCGTGGGTCCCCGAGCTGGGGGCGGCCGTTGGGGGCTTGGCAGCAAACTTGCCGAGGCGGCTCCCGTTGGGGCGGGGCGGATCTGGCCGTGCTGCCCCCAAGGCAGGGCTGGGGCTCCCCGGGGTCTGAGCTAGATGGGGAGGGTCGCTCTACCGTCCCGTCCCCCGTCCCAGCACATTCTCCAGGGGCGGCTTTCCGCAGGGGTCTGGCTCTGCATGCCCTGGCTGGCTGGAGTGAGGGGCGCTCCGTGGGGGGGAGGGCGTGTGCACAGCCCACCCTCCTTGCTTGCAGCTGCCCTCCTGGGAACAGCCTCTGTTTCGGGGGGAGGCTGGGGGTGTACGAGGCAATCCCTGTAAAATGGAGCTGGCTGCTGGCCTGGTTAGATGGGGGTGTTTTTTGTCTGTTGCATCCCCGTGTTGCTAGACTCTAAGAAGTCCCGTCTCAAACCAAGTCACCTGTGCCTCCCACTGTCTTTCCCTTCAACCCCCCTCCGCCCTGCAGAGTCGCCCCAAACCAGCCCCCTTCTGCTTGTATCTGCTCATCAGCCCGCTGGGCTGTGAGCCTTGTGAGGCCTGAGGAAGTAGTTGGGGTGAAGGCTGAAGTGCGTGTCCGCTGTAGTTCCCTTGCTGTCGCAAATGCTTTAGTTCAACTACTTTTTTCTTCTGTCTTAAAAGGAATGGGCTAGAAACCAGACCCTTAAAAGCAGCTTCGCCTTCTCGGTTACTGAAACTTCATGATGAACATTTAGCTTTCTTTTTCCCCCTCTGTGGCATGACTTCAGTGGCCGTGTGACCTGGATCAGTTTCACTTTGCTTCCTTGGGATAAGCACATGGTTGCAAACATGGCCAGGGAGGGAGCTGATCCAAACCAACTTTCTGCTGAATCATTTAAAAAAATAAATAAGTTGGTGAGGCTTTGCGTCTCTCCCAAACCCTCAGCTGAAAAGGGCCTTAACTTTAGGCTTAAACTGACTGGGCCTGCTGGGGATTCTTAAAGAGATGGAAAACCAAAATCTAGTTAACTTTTTTAAAGTTGCTGAGGGGGCTGTGCCTGTTTCTGAGCGCCCCCTCTTCTCTTCTCCCCCCCCCCCCCAGTTTTTATGGTGTTGCACTTTCCTACTCTTAAATGTTTCTATCTGCCCTGTTGGGGGAGGGCCCTACCCAAACAGAAGAGGAAACTGACAGACCAGAAGGGAGAATCGGTGAAACTGACTAGACATAAAGTACTGTCAAAGTCACAAAATAAACTAGCTTGTTTCCCCCAACAGTGCCATTCAGACTAGATTGGGGGTTCTCAAACTGGGGGTCATGACCCCTCAGGGGGTTGCAAGGTTATTATGTGGGGGGTTGTGAGCTGTCAGCCTCCACCCCAAACCCTGCTTCGCCTCCAGCATTTATAATAGTGTTTCAATATAAAAAGTTTTTAATTTATAAGGGGGGGGGGGTCACGCTCATAGGTTTGCTGTGTGAAAGGGGTCACCAGTACAAAAGTTTGCGAACCGCTGGATTAGACTCACAAAAGAGCTGATGGGTTCTAGAAACTTCCAGATAGAGTAACATTCAAGTGTAACAATAGGTGAATGGATGTATGAATGGCTCTTTTAAATGGACAGTGTCCCGTTAACAAGTCTGAGTATCCGTGGTATTGTGCTCTGTGCCAGATAGTAGTGGGTCACTGAGACAGTAAGTAGCCATGTGACTTATAGGAAGAAGAAAGTATGAAGCCCATAGGATCAGTTTCATAAGGTGCATTGATCAGGGTTGGACTTCAGAAGCCAGCCACTGCTGGGGGCATTTCAGAAACAGCTGTGAGTTCTAGATGCCTCTAGGGGGCAGCACATCTGAATGGGGCAGGTTTGGCTGAGACAACCAATCCATCAAAGCACCGCCTCTTCCTATTTATATCCTGGATTGGGTAGATGTTTCCAACCCTATGTAGGTACTATGCAGGACTAAATGACATGGAGAAATGGAGGTCTAGTGATCTGTCCTAAACTGAATTTAATGGGGAGGTCAAAGCCTCGTCACCACCTAACCACTTCCGAGAGGTTGGAACGGCTTGTAACGCAAGCGAAATGGATTGTGATGTTTCATTGCCGAGTGGCTATCGTGAACCGCTAATGAAAATGGCTGCGACCTTTGGTTGAATGATGGGCAAGTGCCTCAGGCCTGGAAGGGGTATTTGCTTGGGCTTAGGGAATGTCTTCAGGCCATCAGAGGAGCAAGGACAAATCCTGCTTCAATTTGTATTTTCAGCTTGTCTTTATTTAAGCTGTAGCCTGGCGTTAGCTCGGCCGTGGCTCAACGGCTGTCCCTTGCCTGCTTAAGCAAGCAGGCTCCTGAGTGGGCCAATAAGGGGAGCAGTGTTGGAACCGAACCACCTTCTCCTGGCAACAGGGCTGCCTGCTGGGGGTCTCGTCTGGCAACCCATCACAGAAGTAGCTGAGGGCGTTCTAGAGAGGGGCTGCAGATGCACCATTGGTGCAAACTAATGAAACCAAAGCCAGAACTTGAAATCTCAAAAAGAGAACTCTCCCAGCTGCTGAATCTCCCCCCCTCCGTAGTCCTGATGCTCAAATCAGGAGCCTTTGTACTCGGTTGCTCCCTCACTGATGGGAATCTCCTCCAAATGAGCCATCCGTGTATGTGCTTGTTGCTCCTGTAGGCTTTTTTTAACCAAGCTTGTCTCATGGGTCACTTGACATGCTGCCCCCAAGCCATGTTTGTTCCAACCCTGCTTGTGATCAAAGCCAGGACATGCTGCCCAGTTGTAGCTGGAGTTTAACTTGGATATTCAGCTGTGGAGCTGGGTCTGACTAGTTAGCCAGTCTCCTGTTTCCTTAGCGCTGTGTGTAATGTGCAAATGAAACCCCTGCAAATGCTCAGCTTCTGAGGCATCGTGGGATAGTGCATTCTGGGAAAGCCTGGGCAACAACTACAGACATTGCTGTGCATCTGGCCGGGAGGACAGGCTAAAACAACTGCATCAGGTGGGAGGGGGGAGCTGCTAAGTGCTGGGCCATGCCTCTGAGCATAGTCACTATTAAGTTATGCACGGAGACTGCAGAAGACACAGGTTCACAAGCATTTTTCTCTTTTGGATGTCACCGTTCCAGTTCTGTGTGGCAACAGCGTTTTTATCTTCCAGTTACGTCTGATTTCATCATGTCTTCGGAGGAAAATGCTGCAAACCAGACTTCCCCCCAGAATGAGGAGCCAGGGCAGCATCAACAGGTAGGTACGCCCAGATTTTAGGGTACTTCACTGCATTAAAATGCACTCCCTGGCATGCTCAAACCCACCTCGTGCTACCAGGCCAGCAATGGTATTGGTGCCGTTGCTGGGGGATGGTGATATAAGTGTGTGTGTGTGTGTGTCCAAGATTGTATCCATGCAACGGGGGAGAACCATAACTTACTAATGAAGGCACCTGGCTGTCCCCCTAGCTATCAAGCAGCCTAGAGAAGCTTGCTGTGGTGGCAAGATCAGATCTGATGCTACTCTACTCGCTAATATAATCTGGGTTAATTTGAAGTCCGCGTATGGATGTGTCCTGCGCCTAGTCTCTTCGGTCAAGACCTCCAAGCGAAACCTAACCTCAGCTGCTTTACTCTAGGTCTTCACTCAGGAGGTCTGTGATCTTCAAATGTCCTCAGCACCTTCTGAAGTCAATGGGAGGTACAGGAGCTTGGCAGGCTTGGAAAATCAGGCCGTGCTCTAGGGCTGAAGATGTCACTGGTGCCTAGAGCATAGGAGTGCCTACAGGGCTACTCCAGCTCACGGTGCTGCTAGGAGGTCTAGCCACCCTTAGTAATAAGAATTCAGCATCAGGGAAGACATGGAACCACCCCCCTCCAACTGGTTGTTACTGATGACATGTGTGTTTTTGTTTTTCTTTTGTCCTCTATTAGAATGTCGTGAGCAGGGTGGCCAACCTGCCCTTGGTCAGCTCCACCTATGACATGGTCTCCACGGCCTACGCCTCCACCAAAGAGAATCACCCGTACATCAAATCCGTCTGCGACGTGGCGGAGAAAGGCGTGAAGACCATCACCGCCGCGGCTGTGGGTGGCGCCCAGCCCATCCTGACCAAACTGGAGCCACAGAGTGAGTGAGCCATGAGATGGCAGCGTGGTAGTGGGACAGACTGGGGGACCCAGGGAAGCTGGAGTAGCTAGTGAACTGCAACTGGGTGGGAGAGCCATGCTGGTTCATGGGTCTGGTAGCTGAGGGAGTGTTGGGAAGCATAACCTTTCAGCTGAGACTTTCACAGCTGTTTTAGAAGGTTCTTATCTACCCTGAACTCCTCTCAGAAGGTCTATTGCAGTCCTACCAAGCAGGTGAGGTGCCCAGCCTATCTCTGCCTCTGTAGCAAGGATGCACCTTTACAAAGAAGCCTTGTATGTTCTGCTGCAGACTTCCAGGCATCATGTATGGCGTGACCCATGTGACGGCTGTGCTAGCTTGACCCTAGAGAAGCTACAGTCTGAAGCACTTCATTACAAGTCACTAGGCTGTAGCCGCCTGTCTAACAGTGCAACACACGGATGGTGCTGCTGTTGAGTCAAATACCCTGGCATACAGCTGGTGCCCTTTGTCAAGGGCAACCTGAATTTAAAATGGCCTTGTTGTGGCCTCCTTTACTAATTACAGATGTGTGGGGCAGAGGTGGCCCAGAACCAATTGGCCAGCGTGGCAACCAGAAACTAGTCAAGCTTTTCAGTGGCTCCTGCAGCCAAGCTGAGCTGGCCAGGTGCAGGGTTCCTTATCGGATGCCCTTGCAAAGATCCGAGGCGCTGGAGGGAGTAAAAGCATCCCGAAGCCAGAGCACATACCCTCCCCCTGCACCATGTTCATAGCGGTGTTAAAATCTCCCTCTGACCTTAAGTAGCTCTCGCAGCCTGCACATGTGGCCTCTAGCCCAGATCTTGCAAAGACAGCTGGTATTGATGCTGGCTCGGAGCGGTGGTGGGGAAGGGAATTGGTTTCACCTTGGGAGACCAGGCCAAAGAAGGCTTTGTTCCTCCAGGGCAGGGAGATTGGCTCAGCCAGGGGAGCGTAGGGAGATGGAACAGGACTCCTGGGTTTGTTCCAAGCGTGGCCTGACATGCTGTGTACTGAAGCATGTCGTTCCACTCTTGCCTAACTCCCTGGGGCATTGTATGGCTTAGTAGCTGGGGAAGGCTTGACTTCCTTCAGGGGAACTCTAGATAACTGAAAGGGGGCTGTTGGTAACCCACACTCGCTTGCTGGGGGTAGGGGTGTCCCTCTTCTCCTGTGTTGCTCTTCTGGCTACAGAGGAGAGGGCTGGACTTACTGGCTATCGCTTAAATGCTGCTCTGTCAGAGTTGCTGTGAAACGTTCCACCTGGCTGGGTTCCTGCATTCAAACTGTATCCAATATAACTAAGCTAGCGTGCTGGGACTCTGGCCAACTCAAGAGGCTGGGCAGCTTCTGTAGCCAACAACAAACTCCTCAGTTAAATATGAGAAGAGATTAAGAAGACTGGGACTTCTCAGCTTGGGAACAAGATGACTACGGGGGGATATGATAGAGGTCTATAAAATCATGACTGGTGTGGAGAAAGTAGATAAGGAAGTGTTGGTTACTCCTCATAACACAAGAACTAGGGGTCACCAAATGAAATTTAATAGGTGGCATGTTTAAAACAAACAAAAGGAAGTATTTCTTCACACAACACACAGTCAACCTGTGGAACTCTTTGCCGGAGGATGTTGTGAAGGGTAGGACTATAACAGGGTTTAAAAAAAGAACCAGCCCAGTTCATGGAGGATAGGTCCATCAATGGCGATTAGCCAGGATGGGCAGGGATGGTGTCCCTAGCCTCTGTTTGCCAGAAGCTGGGAATGGGCAGCAGGAGATGCATCACTTGATTACCTGTTCTGTTCATTCCCTCTGGGGCACCTGGCATTGGCCACTGTCAGAAGACAGGATACTCAGCTAGATGGACCTTTGGTCTGACCCAGTCTGGCCATTCCTATGTTCCAAGGCAGCAATTGTCACTTGGTGATACCGTACCAGAGATGGGCTCATGGTGCTGATCAGGTCAGCTGTAGGCTAGTCCCTCATGTACCAGCTACAACAGCAGCTGCTAATGATCCATGCAACGCACCCGTGTCCAATCCATACCAGTAGCTCTTAGGAGCTGCTGGGGGACTCCCTGACCACAATAGGTCAGCTGTGGCTGGGGCCATCTCTGTGTGAAGACGGTGATGTCCCTAGTCCCACATGCTGAGTTCTCCTTGGAGAGGACTAAGGAATACTGGTGAGCGAAGGCCATGGCAGTGTGTGTTGGCTTTCTACCAGAGGCTGATCACATCTCTTGGCCTCTGGGGTAACTGTCAGGCTTCAGAGAACCTGAGAAATGGAGTGTCCTAATACACTCCTCATGGCTGCCTCGAGTGCAGCTGGCAAGACGTCACCCCTCTGCAGAGCTAGCTCTGATCTCGAGGCCTGTTTCATGCTCTAGAATCCTTCCCAAACTTGGACTAGCCAATGTTCTCCTTGGCAGCCCTGCAGCCTCCCCTCCCTCCCCTCCTCAAACCTGGCACTGCTTGGCGGTGCCCCTTGAAACCTGACTCGGTTACCAACCTACTCTGCCGCTCCAGGCAACTGAGGGGATAAGGCAACCCAACTCTCTCTCTGTCTAGTTGCAACAGTGAATGAGTACGCGTGCAAGGGGCTGGATAAACTGGAGGAGAAGCTGCCAATTCTTCAACAGCCAACTGAAAAGGTGAGCACCTCTGCTTGGAGAACTAGGGATGTGAAACAAGGGGTCTACACTCCCTGGACAGCAGCTGGGGAATAAGGGGTGGGGGGCCAGGAAAAGACTTGACTTCTCCTCCCTGGATCTAACAGCTTCTTTGGGCAGGCCAGTTGGCTGGGTAGCTGAGCTAGCCAATAACCGGCAAAACTCATCCCAGAGAGAGGTGGAGATGAAAACCTAGTGACTGATACTGCTGTAGGCTCCAGGCTCTTATCTGGGTGAATGGTGCCTATTTATAAGGGGAAGGCAAAGTAGTCCTAGGATTAACCAGTGCCGCCTCTTCTCTGCTGGCTTAATACTAACCTTTGCCACTGAATGCTTCCCTCAATCCTAGGTTGTGGCTGACACCAAGGAGCTGGTGTCTTCCACCGTGACCGGTGCTAGAGATGCCGTCTCCAACACGGTCAATGGAGCGAAGGATGCCGTGACCGGGGTGGTGGACATGGCCAAAGGAGCTGTCCAGGGTAGCATGGAGATGACCAAATCAGTGGTGACCAGCAGCGTGAACACAGTCATGGGGTCCAGAATGGGCCAGATGGTGGTGACTGGCGTGGATGCCATGCTGGGGAAATCGGAAGAGCTGGTGGATCACTACCTCCCCATGACGGATCAAGAACTAGGTCAGTGCACGCTGAATACAGCTGGCTGAAAACTTTTTCAGCCTAATGGCTTGACCAAAAATGCAGTTTGGGTCAACCCCAAACTAGCTGTGAATGTAACCTGAGTAATTTTTGCCAGTCACAAAATAGCTGGAGGATGTATTTGTGGTCCCCTGCCTACCAGGCTAAGGGGTAGCACTCATTTGGTACATGGGAATCCCAAGTTCAAATCACCACTCAAATTTTCTTTAGGCCAAACCAAATCTGAAATTTTTGGTGACTCAACAGACACTTCAGTTGTTCAGAACTGCCATGAACCCAGCAAAAATCAGTAACTTACCAGCTCTAACTATCAGAAAATCACAACCCCAGCTGACTCTGTACTCCTAGGATTGCCACATGAGTCCCTCCGCTAGGAGTAGGTGGCCTTAATTCTTAGCTGGCTCTGTGGCTGCAGCAGTGAGATGCCAATAGGGTGCCCTAAGCAAAGGTGGCTGTTGGCCTTGTGCTGGTCTAGGTGGGGCCCATTTTGGCAGCCTCCCCTCCAACACAGCCACTCTTACTGGGGGAGAGAGCTAGTAAATGGGCCTGCCTCTTGTGCAGGCCACTAGCCCAGCATGACTTGGTGGGAACAAGGCCATTATCCTCGCTGTAACCAAAGCAAAGGTCAGACTCTCTGCCCCTGGCATGGAATGATGAACATAGGCCTGGGGGAGGGTTTGTCATGGCTCTTGTGATCAAACTACTGTGCTCTCATACCTGAGAATCTACTACACTCCTTCCAGGGTTGCTGAGCCCTCAACTCCTTTCCCTGTCCCCTGACAATCTGCAGGCGCTCAGCATAACATCCTATTGGTAGCACCCCCACCAAGCCAGCCAGGGATGGGTAGAAAACTGGAGCCCTGACATTATGCCTTTTGGAACTGTATTGGTTTGGGGCCTGGCTAGAGCCAGGCGAGACTTCCTGGGTCTGCTGCCCAAAGCAAGTGCAGTTCTAGACCTTGCTCAGTGACTCCAGATCAAATCTCTCTGCTCACAAGCAATGCCTCCCTTTATCCGAACTGCCGGCCCTGCAGCCTCCACCTGGGATCAGAACTCCAGCGGGGATCGTTCTGGTTCATGCGTCACTCAGACTGTCTGCGTTGGGACTTAACGATTCTGATGCCTGGCTTGGGAGAGAATCTAGTTCCTTGCCACAGGGCTGGATGGGCTTTGAAGCATGAACCAGTGGAATGGGGAACACTTGTCTCCAGATCCACGTGCTGAGTAAGATGGGGGTTGCTTCTCCAAGTGGAACTGCACTGGAAGGCTGTGACGTCTTCATAGCAGGCATCTAAACTCCGGTGGAAAGCCGATCCGAGGGCAGTAGCAAATGCAGCTTTTAGTGCCATGCCCGGTCAGATAGCTAAAAAGCTATTGAGTGTTGTGCCCGTTGGCACTAACTGTGCCCAACTGGTGCCAGAGTTAGGCCCAGCTTGGACCTGAGTGGCAGAACTGCTGTCAAGGAGTCATTTGAAGAGACTTTACTGTGCAACTCCAGGCTTGTGCGCCCAGGGAAACGCAGGGAGCCTGGGGTTGGCAGGAGGTAGGGATTGTCAAGGATGCTGGTGCTGTGAAAGGAGCCCTTCTCCTTCCATTGTGTTTTGGCCACAAGCTAGTATGGCCAGCAGGTAATGCCCTGCTGCAGGGATGGGAGCTTCTGCTCAGGCGCTCTCCCTCCTGCACAGCGAACAGTCGGGCACCGCTGAATTGCCCCTCTTCAAGGTGACTTGCAAAGAGGGTGGGAGTAGGGGTGTTGCTTGTAAACCGTCTGCAAGAGCAGCACCGTCGGCTTCAACTCTGACCGTCTGTCACCCATGCCTAGGGTGGCTTCTGTGTCCCGGCCACTAGAACAGGATAGACCTGAGCCTGCAACAACCTTTGGCCTAGCAGACCTCTGGGTCTTGCAGCTTTGGGCAGTAGAGGCACAGCCTTTAGATCCTGGGGTCCCAGGTCCAGTCCCTGTGACTCACCTGGGGTGTCGCATGACCCAAAGAACCGAACATTGGGTCCTGTCTGCCTCTGCTGGAGGTCTTGAGTGTGGCCTGAGCTTTAACCTCTTAACTGGAAAGGCTGATTCTCAGCTGTTTGGGAAGAGATGGGTTAATCTGCAGGGCCTGAGGACCATGGGTGAACACCGCTCACCCATTCATTACTGGCAATGATCTCTGTCCTACCTAACAGGTGGAGGAGACCCTTCTTGGCTGCTTTCGGGTGTCAGTACCACAGAGGTTCCTGATCCCTGCAGCCAACTGATCAGTATTGGCCCAGAGCTTCCCTGTGGCACAGTCCCGCTCTGCACTGTCTGCTGCTTGGTAGCACTGCAGAGGTGAAAGGGAGAGCATTTACTGTAGCCACCCAGAAGGGTGGGGTGGGAGGGTGGCCTCAGACTCCTCTCTCACATGGACCCCACTAACAGTCAAACCCAGGGCTGGTGACCGTGGGTCTCCTGCAAGTCCCATTTAACTCTCAGAGCTGGAGAGGATGCTGGCCTGAGTCGGTCAGTGACTGGAGGAGTATCCCCCTTTGCTGCTGAAGGCAGAGCAGACGCGGGGCAGAAATCTCCTGCTCTGCTGACGGGACTTTCCCCAGCAGGCTGTTTGACCCGTCTTCTCTTGTTCTCTCCAGCTAAACTGGCCACGTCTGTGGAAGGCTTCGAAATGGCGTCCGTGGAGCAGCAGAAGCAGCAGCAGAGTTACTTCGTGCGCCTGGGGTCCCTGTCCACCAAGCTCCGCCACCGAGCCTACCAGCACTCCCTGGGCAAGCTGAGGCATGCCCGGCAGAGCACCCAGGAGGCTCTGTCCCAGCTCCACCAAACCATAGAACTGGTAGGAATGCAGATCTCCCCCCTGCTCCCCATGCCACCTCCCAGGTCACTTTGTTCTGGCGCTTAAGGCAAATCCTAAAGGGTTCGTACTTCTCTCTGGTCAGACATCTTGATTCACAATCCATGGCCCATGCACAGGTGACCGAGGACTATCCTCGGCTGGTGTCGGTCAGCACAGTGCTGCTGACTTCCGGCAAGCTAGTGACCTCTTCCAGCTGAGGATCTGGCCGGGGGACTCCTCCCTTGCTGCTGACCACAAGTATCTTGACTTCTGGTTCTCTGTTCCCTCTGTCCCTTGCCAGATTGAACATGTCAAGCAGGGTGTGGACCAGAAGCTCCATGACGGCCAGGAGAAACTACACCAGATGTGGCTGGAGTGGAGCAGGAGGCAATCGGAGGGGAAAGAGGACTCCGACACTGCACAGCCAGAGGTATCTTGCCATGGAGGGTGGTGGGGGAGGTGTCCTAGGCTACTGCAAAGTGACCTCTTAGGCGGGGTGAGTGTCACACATCCTGGGAAGCAGCTTCCCTTAATGGGTGTACTTGCTTCCCTGGCAGGTGGAATCTCGGACTCTGGTCATGTTCCGTGGCATCACGCAACAGCTGCAAACCACCTGCCTGAACCTGATGCCCAATGTCCAAGGCCTCCCCACCAGCATCCAGGACAAGGTGCAGCAGCTCCGTCACAACGTCGAAGAGCTCCACACGTCCTTCTCCGCTGCCCATTCCTTCCAAGATCTGTCCAGCGCTGTCCTGACCCAGAGCCGGGAGAGGGTGGCCAAGGCCCGGGAGTCTATGGACGAGCTGCTGGACTACGTGGTGCAGAATGCTCCCCTGCCTTGGCTTGTGGGACCTTTTGCTCCCAGGCTGGTAGAGCTACCAGAAATTCCAGCGGCTGGAAAGGATGGGGAGGAGGAAGCTGCTGGCTGCACCGCCCAGCAAGGAGAAGATGAGAAGATGGACAGCACAGCTCAGCAAGCCTCTGTGCCAAAGGAGGACCCTTAGACTGCTCCTTAGACGGCTCTGTATACCTGCAGTTGGCTTCTTGTGAGGGAAAGAACTTGTATGCAATTCACTTGTGTGGACATGGGGGCTTGTGTGTCACCTGCATCTGGGGAGGGGTGGCAGGGTGTTAATGTAGATAAGCTGGCTGTGCATGGAACTCCCTGTTGGCCTCACTTCTGAGACTCTGCTCTCTTCCTTGCCAATCTTTTGTGCCTTCTCTAGCTCCTCTGGGTGGCTCCTTCCACAGGTGAACTCCAGCCCATGGCAGAAGCATCGCCTCAAAGCAAAGCCAGGGTGTCTCAATGGGAACTCTATCTGGAGGCTGTAAAGTGCCCTTAACTAGGGGCTTGCTCAGAGCAGGGCAGGGAGAGGACACCAACCTTCATGGCAATAGCACTGAACTCCAGCAGCTAATGGACCCATAAGATTTCAGTTGTTCAGGCTCTTGACTACATAACAGCCCCTGAGCTCTGCAAACGTGGGGGAGTGCAAAGCCTGGATTAGCTGTAGGGTTTGTTGCAGAACCTGACCCTCTTAGGGCCCATTCCCTGGGCAGCTGTATCCTTAAATGCAATCAAAAGGGATCATTAGATTTTTTTAATTATTTCCCCCTGTTCTAAAGCGCTGTAAAGCCATTTGAACCCTGACTGCCTGTGAAATGACAGTTGTAGCCAATAAAGCAGGAATGACTCTGCCATTGCAAAGAAGGGGTAATTGGTGCTGCACCATCCCAGAACTGATCTTCCAAGGGGCTTGATTGTAACTGAAAATCAATAGAAAGAAATCTCAGGCTAACTTTCCCTCCTGTAAGTGCCACTAACGGTTTGTATCTTGTAGAATAACTGTTGGTTTTTTTTCACAATAAAATGTATTGGCATTCACCTGGTGCTCTGGTGTCTCTGTAAGTACCTTCCCTCTCCTCTTCTCACCATCATTCACTAGAGAGGAGGTGACCACCACCATCCCTGCCCCACACACCATCCCTACAATGGGTTTAAAATCTCCTGCCTTAAACCCAACTCCTACCTTTTCGGAGTCCAACCCATGGACAAGGGTTGGTGATGCTGGACTCCTCCTACCCACCAGGAGAGGAGTCTAAGCCGTTCCCAAGGAAATAGCGCTCTTCACTCAAATCCTATTGGTAATTTTGCCTTCTAGTGGGAGCTTAGGAATGCTGGGCAGAGCCAAGGAGCCAGAGCCCAAGACCCCGTGGTGCTAGGCTAGATGGTCCTTGTCCAAAGAACTGCAGGCCTCTTGAGCAATCCCATTACAAACCTCCAAACTACACAACGGCCACAAAGAGCAGTTGTGCCCTCCTGCCAGTACCTAAACTGCTCTTATCTGCCTCCATAGCCTCACTCTTTCTCCTAAAGGCCAGAAACGTGTCACTTTCTGTTGAGTGTGTAGTGGCCTCCTTAACACTGCATCTGGCCCAGGTCTCACCTTAATGCTGCATTCAGGACATCTATAGCCAATGCTGATGTTCAAGTAACTCTGTGCCCTTCTCTCTCTCTCCTTGGGCAGAGGTACCAGAATGTGGCCACCTTCAGCCCCCCAAATTCCATCCTGGCTTTCAAGCCCTCTCCTAAGGTTTGCTAGAAGTCCCTTACTGTAGTCTCTGGCCAGCACTAAACTTCTGTCTTGAACTCGCCTCGTGGGATTAGGTAGCACAAGCCTGTGGAGGATCGGAATGCCTACTGTGTAAAACTGCTAGCAATGGCGCAGTGATCTTCACGGAGGCTATGGCTCTTCCTTTTTGGGGTCAAACTCAGAGTAGGGTTTTTAATTTACTGTTCTGGGGGCAGGTTGGATAGAAGTATCTGCGGAGTTGCTGTCTCCAAAGACATTTCCCCTGTAAAGGCTGTGAGGCATTATCTAGACTGGAGTCACCCGTTCACCTCCATCTTTCACCTCCTCTAGTTACTCTGTAATACTTGTGTGTTGCTGCTTCGATACCCCCAGCTATCTTTCTTCTCCTGTGCTGTGGCTTTCTGCAGTAGCCCCCTAATGCAAGCTGGAACCAGAGGTGATGTGACAGACCTTCTTCACAGCCCCGGTTCATGGCCAGATACAGCCGTCATCTCCTCCTCTAGCATGGCAGGGATCACCCCTCCTTAGGACAGTGGGTGCAGCTGGAGTCTGCAGGCTCTGGCCTGTAGAAAGTTGTAAGGAGCAGGTTGTCTTTCCCATCCTCAAACACCGAGACTCCCTAAACTGTTCTCATGCTCTGGCAGAACCCCCCCCAACTTGACTCAGATGCTGTTGCCCCCTCACCTAGGGGCAGGTGACTGAGTGGACTGGACCCCCCCACACACACACAAGTTACTGGTACTCGGGTTGTATTCAGGCTTCTGTCCTATGTTGTGACTTCAGGGGAACCATTTTGCACCTCTGAGGCTCGGCTTCCCTAGCTAATATGGAGATACTCTTTCAGTTGTGCCCAGCCTGAGCTCTCCGTGACCTGAGCAACCCCACCCTTGCTGGGGGCTGGCTTCTCCAAGCCAGGGGTGGCTTCAATGCTCTCCACATTGTTTCCATGGTTCAAAGGCAGAGGGAGCCACATGCTAAGAGTTGGTGGGTTTTTTTGCTTCTCTGTGGCAGCAACTCCAAACCTTTCCTGCTTGGCCTTTGAAGCAGCTTTGTCGGGTTTTTTATTCTCACCACTACACATTGCCAGGCAGCTCCATCTGTGCTAAATGTGCAATCTGGATTTAAACTGGCCTGAGCAAACCCCCCTTGGATGCAGGGGGAAGCAGGCAGGTCTGTCACTCAAATGATCAAAGAAAAACCATGTTTAATGGCAGGGCACACCCCAGCCACCCAAGACTTTCCCCTTGCCCATCCCATGCTTCCTAAGGCTTTCGCTTCCATCCCCAACTGATACCATGTACCCCACTGGCATCAGACTTGTACTCTGATACAAACGCTTAACTGTGACCCTCGTCTGTCAGCGTCGACACAGCTGGCTGTCACATTCTATCTGCTGAGACGTTCTCCAGCTCTAACCCCACCGAGAGCTTGGGTAAGGTTTTTGCATTAGAGTGGAGAGGACGTGACCGACTCTATCCCACAGCTAGTTATGAGGCAGCGGAAGAAGAGTGATGGGGGTTCCTGGGGGCTATTTCTTGCTCTATGTTCGAGGTAGGCTAGCCACTGAAAGGCAGCGTGCAGGGGCGAAAATGGGGGTTTGTCACCTTAGAGACCCAGGTTCTGGGCCGGCAGACACCTTGCTGGCATGGATCTATGCTGTACCCCCAGTTTTGGGACAGTCACTTAGAGGAACCCCTGTTAGTGTGCCAGACCCCTAAGGGGGGTGTCTCTCTTCCCCCTAGTTGGGCTGTGGCTGTCCCTCCGTCTAGTCCAGATGAGAGCCCCCACTCCTTCCAGCAGCCAATGCTTGTCCCCCCACCTAACACCTGCCCATCCTTTGGTCTCGAGCTGGGGGATGTTGCGGAGAGGTGGGGAAATCTATCTCCCTCTGGGGCGTCGGCTGCTAGGTGTCAATGCCCTGGGGCTTGGATTTGCCGCTGTCTTTTGAGATGGGGTCCGCCTCAGCCAATCCTTTTTTAATGACCCATACAAGCTCAGACAGCCAGGCGATGCTCTTACCTTCGTCTCTTAGCCTGCCCCCAAAAGTAAACTGTCCCTTTCTGCCCACCGGGTAACAATGCAGCATATAGGGGAAACTGAGGCACACACTGGCATCATAAAAATATTACAGAAAATTCCCACTTCATCACACTTGCATAAGCTAAAAAGTGTGTGTGGGGGGGCAGCTCTTCCCTGACTGTTTTCTAGGTTAGGTTCATGGCCTTTGTCACATTTCAGGGCAACTGCGCCCATATTCCCCCTCCGTAGTCTAGCAAGGGCACCCACTTCTGGGCTCCCAGCCGTCACCGCTCTTGGGCGGAGACCCACATCTCTCTCTTCCTCCCAACCAGGTTTTTTTTTCCAGGCTGCACAGTTCCCTACCTCCACCGTGAGTGCCCCAGCAAGCCAGACTGCCTGAGCAGGTCTGTTCCTGTGCTTTGCTTTCTCCTCCGAGGCTACCACCAGGGTGATCGCCCACAGATCAGGGCTACCCCCAGCCCTTGCTAAGCAAGCACATGTGTTCTTCTGGTGAAACGTTCCAGAGAAAACCTCTTAAACATAATAAAAGAACCTCCACACCCGTTCCCAAAGATCACCCAGCCCCTCCAGCTTCATCAGCACGTTAAAATGCAGCAGGCTCAGTTTGGGGCACGTATTTTCCGTTATGTCTGGGGATGTTATGAAATGCTGCATAGACAAACCTCTTGGTGTCTGATATTCCAGGAATCAGCAGGCACGTGGTGGCCAAGCGACAGGGCCCAGCCTGTTGCACATTTCTTGCAAAATGAGGCCAAAGAAAAAGGAAGACAAGCCAGCAGAAAACATTGCGAAGAGGGGTGATTTAAAAATGTTATTGTTCTCTCTGGAATCATACGAACCTAGGGCTTTTCATCAGTAGATCTCAAAGCGCTTGACAAAGGCACTCAGCATCGTTATCCCTGTTTTACAGATGGGGAAACCGAGGCACAGAGCAGGGACGGGACTTGCCTAAGGTCACCTAAGCAGCAGAGTTAGGATGAGAACTCAAGTCCCAGTCGGGTGCTGTAGCCACCGGGCCATATGCTGCCTCTGGACTGCTTCTTTGTTCATGGAAGCACCATGAAGCACTGATGATAGTGTTCAGAGTGCAGCTGTGCTTTTGGGGATTTGTTTTTTTTGCCATGTCCATGAGAGGTTTACAAAAGAAAAGTTTAAAGCGCCTGTAAAACCCGAGCTCGGTAACTCAGCTGCCGCTGCACCGCAACATACAAAGTCCCATTACTCCTGCCTCAAGCGCTAACGGTGAATGATCTTCTACCACCCAGACAGCGACTGGTTAACCAACCCAAATACTGCGAGTTACGGCCCTTCAGATCAGTTTCTGCTCCAAACACAGCCCCCACCCCACTGGCGCTTGACGGCATGATA